AGAGCTTATAGCAAGACATAACAAGAGAACTGATGAGGCAATAAACATTGCCAGACTGTGACTTGAACAGAATCAGTCATTGCTCATTTAGTCCTTGAAAGACATGAAAATGTCAATGCAAAGGAAGGATGCTACTCTAAAAGTAAAGGAACACACCCTACACTCCCCTGCTCAGCAGAAGAAATCAAAGAAGTCAAGGCCACATGCGTGGATAAACATAGGCTCATGGAAAGAAAGCTCATTGCACCCTTCTTCTCAAAATGCCAGACAGTTCTTCTGAAAACCGCTCATTGCTCAGGAAGTTTTAAGAACGATTCTTAGAGACTTAGAACTGGTCCAAGGCCTACTCTGATTTCTGTGTCATGAACAATTTCTTTAGGATATTTTGTTTTAAACTCTGTTTGATATTTTCTTGTTATATTATGCATCTGATCTTTTCTAGAACCTTTATGTAAATGATGGACAAAAGCGGGAGAATGCAGAGATATTTGGTGATATTTTGGTTACGTATTTTGGATGAGATTTTCGGTTACATACTCTGTTATTGTGGTACCAACAGTTACTTATACTCTTTATGTTTATTATTTTTCTACAAGTGTTTATTATTTTCTAATCTTGGTATATGTTCTATTTTGGCGAGCTAGATATTCTATATGATGAACTGAGTGCTTTAGAACTTAGATTTTTATTCTAACGACTGCTCTATAGGTTGGACTTGAGTTCTTTTGTTCTATTCCTAATATCTGCTTCTATTCTATTCTTTTGCTCTGACCGTATGCTCTGATTATTAGAACTTAGAATATCTTGTCTATCTTTGCTACTTCTAAAATCAGTTTCTAAAATATCTTCCTAGTTCTAATTTTCACAAATAGTTTTATTGCATTTATTCAGGGGGAGCAAAATACATGTTCTAATTTCGATTCATATTAAGATCATTTGGCATGCTTAGAAACTTATATGCATAAAATTTAGGGAATTTAGGGGGAGCACACGTTTTTATGTTTGCTAAATTTATTGATTTTGTCATCATCAAAAAGGGGGAGATTGTTGGCTCAAGAGTCAAATTCTAATCGGAATTTTGATGATTAAAACAAAACAAATAAATTTAAATTTTATTATTTATGCTAATATTATTTTATGCAGAATATTCTGATTTCAAAATGAAATATCCACTTTCTAAAAACGAGAGTCACAAATCTCTCTATAAAAAGAGTTTTCACGCTTTGAACAAAGTGAAAGAAAGAGTTTTCGTTTTAAGAGTATTCACTTATTGATCACATCTTTTATCTCTCAAAACTTACTCTCTACCCTTTTCTTTTCACCTTACACATTCACGTTTTTATCTTTAAAAGAGAAAACGAATTTGGATAGACTACTTTGAAAAAACGGTTCTGTGTTCTAAACAGATCATTTGTTAATCTTGAAAAAATTATTTTTCCTGTGCCTTATATTTGCATTTCTATCTGTCTATTCTAGATTCTGTAATCTTTTACGGACAGGATTTTTATTTGAATAAACAATTGTAGTAATAGCTTAGTCTAGAAGCTATTGTTTAGAAAGAGAGTTATCAAGCAACATTCTCCGTTCGAGAGAGATCATCTAATGTCTTTGAATTGAGTTTTCCCTGTACTCTGCCAAAAACAGAAAGGGTTGAGGTTAAGCTAGCCAAAAACAGAAAGGGTTGAGGTTAACTAGAATATTCAAGACGTTACTTATGATTCTAAAACTTCTTTTTTTGTCTTGTTTTAAGGAGCTGTAAAATAAATCGCTGACGGATTTCTACCATTATATTCTTTCTTATCTTTTATCTTTTAAAATTTATTGAGAGGTTTAATAGATCAAAATAATATTATAAACTACATAATAGAAATAACTCTTATCTAGCTTCACCAAGTTGGCGAAGACACCTGTGATCGAGAGGATTAATTTAATATGTGATTAATATAACTTTTGCTATAATAATTTTCACATTTTTTTATTATACAATAGGTGTTTAATCTATCTAATTTTATAAGTTGATGTTTTTAGTGCGTGAAATAAAGTATTTAACAGGTCTAATTTTATAAGTTGAAGTGTTTTATGGATCAAAGTAAAAGTTAGGGAGCTACAATCTTTTTCGTAAAAAGTACAAGAGTGAATTTACATACTGAATCTATAATATTTTATTAGAGAGAAGTATTTTTTATATTTATCTTTGCATTGTTTGATATTAAGCAACTAATATTATTAGCGTTATTAACAAAGCAAACTATATTAAATATAAGACTTTTGAAAATTCTTTTACCATTACATTCATTTGATTGCCCTTACTTGCTTAAGGGAGATTATTACGTTTTCGGTTCTCTACTAAATCTCAATTACGATTTATACACATTAAACCTCAAGCCGTCGTTTGGTTTAATTATTCACACTAGATGATATCTAATACCGGTTATTGATACCTTATAGTTGATGTTGTTCTCATAATGTAAAATGACTAAAAATTATTTTTCAATATTATAAATTTTTTTTATCAAAAAGATTGTTAATTTTGTTTAGAGTTGAACTCAAAACCTCCTGCGTACTAAACTGATGCTCTAACCAACTAAGTTACGACAGCCCAATATTTTTTAATATTATGAATTATAACTTACACATATATAACAAGTTTAAGGTAAATATCATAAGGTAATATCATACACTTTTGTGTTAAAGTTATATATTTAATCAAAAGTCTTAATTTTTTTTTTTAAATTGGTGTTTAATAATATTTAATTATTTTTAAAACATTATACATAATTTAGTAAATGGTGTTTAATAATATTTAATTATTTTTAAATAATTATACATAGATTATAAAAAATAATATTAATTTAAAAAAATTATTGATAATTATTTTTATAAGACTAACTAAGTCCAAATTTAAACCTAACGCTAACTCATACTAAAAAGCTTTAAAATGAAGCTGATGGCATGGAGCGTGAGACTTCTATCAAATATGAGTTGGGAATTAAAATCTTCATCAAACACCTGCAACCTAACTCATCAGCTATTAAGCTATTAGCTGCATGCATCAGTTGAACCAAACATTCTTCTATCGTATTTCTTTCAACAAATTAAATGAGATATGATTTATTTTTTGAGATTAAAATATAAAATTAATAGATTTTAGAAATTAGAAAATCTAAAATCAAATACCAAGCACCACTTTACAACAATTAAGATGGTCGAAAAAAGGAGCGCTTATACAACCTTCAGAATTATGTGCATTAGCAGACTTGGCGATTAATTAGTCCTAAAATTAATTTTCAGTTGCTTTTTTCTACCATCAATTTCACTCATTTTCATATTTACTTTTGAATTACTAGGCTATATTACATATGTATTATTGTTGTTTATTACCAACAAAATTTTTTTATTAGAATTAAAGAATTAAGAAAAGTTTGACATTTTTAAAAATCTACTCCAAGCCACTAGACTTCAGCGATGCACCACAACTGACCTGAAAATATCAAATAAAAATCTGACTGAACAATACAATCTGATAAAGAAAATCTATCTGATAAAGAGAAAAAAAAATGCACAACATCCCAAAAACTCACCTACAAACAATCAAGGGAAATAAAAAAAAACAACTACAACCAAACGAAACAGTTCTGTGCCGCATTAACACCATTTAGCCAAAAGTCATCAAATTCATTCTTAGGTCTTCTAATCAAGTTGAAGGAAATATGGATACAAACCAAAAATAGAGCTTCCATTTTATTAAAACTTTTTCACCATTTCCAAGTCGCTTGTCTTTGTGTAGCTTCCAAATTACTACACTCTTAGAGCCTGAGTCAACAATTAATTGGAAGCTGTTAAATGCAAAAGAAGCAAAAACCTGAATGGCCTGAAAAACGGCAAGAATCTCAATTTCATTAGAATCCAAAAATTCCAACTTTTTTATAGAAAAATGCAGACAACTTCACTAAATGGATTTCTCAAAACACCCCATAATTCTATGGACGTGGTTTACTGAGAGTTGAATGATCTACATTAAACTTGAAAAATTAGGATCATTGATTTTGAGATAAATTAGGAAAAATTAGGTCAAACGTGCAACCGCGTTAAAACACTATTCCACACGCACGTGTTAGGATCAGGATACCTATTCCCTAGATAGGAAATTATTGGCTTGGGTATAGCTCATTGATTTTGCTGAGTGTTTCCTATATATGATTAATTAATAAAATAAGACTTTTTTTTTGCTGATAAAAGAATTTCTGGGCTAGATTTATCAAGTAAATTAAATTCTGAGCTGATTTATTATAGTATTATTAAAAAAAAAATTCTCAAACGTTAAAACACTAAATTTATAATCAAGCAATAAAATAATTTAATTAATGTTTCCACACCCACGTATTCAAGACGTTACGTAGGATTCCAAAACTTCTTTTTTTGTCTTGTTTTAAGGACCTGTAAAATAAATTGATCACGGATATCTACCATTATATTCTTTCTTATCCATTGTCAACAAAATTTTGTGACACTTTAAATTTTATAAGAGACCTACGCTTACAATTAAATTTTATTTTTTAAAATTTATTAAGAGGTTTGATGAGCCAAAATAATATTGCAGACTACATAATAGAAATAACTCTTCTCTTGAGTCATCAAGTTGGTGAAGACATTTGTGGTCGAGAGGACTCAAACTTGAGACCTCTCACTATTTACATAAGTGAAAAGACCAAATAACTGCATCTGATTGATTTTTGTTATTTATTTTTTAGCTATAAACTAAAAAGAAAAACTATATTACCAAAACCATGTCTAGATATTATTCTCTATAGAAGATAAGAAAACAACGTGGCTAAATAAGTTAAATCGGCTGTTAGTACAAGTGCATGCATCCAATATGCCGACTAATAGCCACATTTTTTATGTGTAAAGAAAATACTTAATATACATGTGGACACATGGTACATCTGAAATTTTGAAGTTTAAATTTTTTTTTTTTTTTCAGCGATTGGATGGGATGGAATAGAAATTGTACTAGTATAAATACAGGTCTAAGTAAAGCTCCAATGCATCCATCAACCAATAATCAATTCTCCCTTAGTTGAGTTAACTTGTTCTTGCATATCATAAAAAATGGCTTCTTACCCTATCAAGGTTGTCAGCACTGTAACCCTTCAATCAAGTGCAGACAAGCTAGTGAAGTTCCTCGGTGGGGCTTCAACTGATCTCAAAAACCTCCTGCCCGACGTCTACACCCAAATCAATGTTCGCGAGAGTACAAATGACTATATTAAGAGGTTCCAACTCGTATATGCTAGTGGTAAGGAAAATTTAAACCGATGCCATTAAACATTACTCTTTTGGATCTCTATCTATTTTGTTTATATTTATTTATTTGTATATATGTCTGTATAGGATTTCCAATCGTGTGGGCAGAAGTCAACATCACTGTACTTGACAGAGTGAATATGATAAGCATTTACCATGTACATATACTTACAAATGGAAATGCTGGAGATTTCAATACACGTGGCACCACGATTAGAGTGATCGAAGTCTTGAGAGCAGACGGAAATGGCAGTAAGGTGGAGCGGACCTACGAGTTTGAGAGAGCAAACACTGATGTTGGTCCTGCCTTTTTTGAATTTGAGATCTCCAATCTCATTAAGCTCGATAAAAAACTAGCTTGAAGAAAATCACTAAGCGACCTACGAGTTTGAAGAGAGCAAACACCTTGATGTTTGGTCCTGCCCTTTTTATGAACTTTGAGATCCCCAATCTCATTAATGCTCGATTAAAAAACTAGCTTGAAGAAACACTCAGTAGATGCACTAAAATAGAAGTCCTGCGTATGCATTTACGTTAGTATCGTCATCAAGCATCTTTTAAATTAGCTATAGTGCCTATTGTTGTATGTGCATGGTGTGTAAATGCAGTCCTTTCTGCATTTATCACTTTTTGTCACTGTACGGTGTGACGCTATCCAATATCTTGTCTTGTGTGTTCTTTCCTACGAATAATGTTTAATAGCTTTAATTTGAAACTATCTCCAAATGTTATTTAAAATTAATTAGAAATTATAGTGGACGCATTACCTATCGAGTTTGAAAGAGGCAAACACAGATTGTTTGTTCCTGCCCTTGTTTGAATTCAAAGATCATTAGATTTGATTTGAGCTGAGATAAACAATACGCTCGAAGAAGCAATCACTCAGTAGACTGCCACAAATAAGAAGTCCAGTGCGATGGAATTTACATAAGATTTCGTCCCTCAAGCATCTGAAGAAAATCACTCAGTAGATGCCACTAAATAAGAAGTCCAGTGCATGGATTTACATAGTACTCGTCCTCAAGCATCTTTTGAATTAGACTTTGTTGTCTGTTATCATATGTGACGGTGTGTAAATTGCAGTCTTGTTCTGCATTTATCACTTCCTTGTTGTACGATTGACATTTATCAATGATCTATGTTTGGTGTGTTTTTTTTTATGAATAACGCTAAATTGCTTAAGTTGAACTATCTCAAATGCTTTTAAAAAAAATTAATAGAAAATTATATATAAAAAATTAAATCACATATGTACCTACAACATGTACCGACCACGGTTTAATTTCGATTTTGACAGAAACAATGGTTTGGTACTTTATAGCTAGTGCCTAATATCTAACCGTTGTTGTTGATTCCTTAGAGTTAATGGTTGAAAGCGGTTAGCTGATGAATATTGATGTTTAATAAAATTTTGATAGTAGCTATTCTCAGAATGTAAAATGACTACTAATGGTAAAAATTATTTTTCTATATTATGATTTATAATCTACACGTATATAACAAGTTTAAGGTAAATATCATGCCTTTTGTTTTTAAGTGTTATATAAATCAAACGATTTTTAAAATGACGTTTAATAAAATTTAATTATTTTTAAATAACTATAGATAAATTATTAAAAAAATTATTAATTTTAAAAAATTGTTGATAGTTATTTTTATAATACAAGTCCAAATATAAGTCTAGTGCTAGCTCATACTAAACAACTTTAAAATGAAGCATGGCATGGAGAGTTTGAGACTTCTATCAAATATCAATTGAGATTTTAAAATCTTTATCTAATACCTACAACCTAACTCATCAACTATGAGCTGCAATGCATCAGCTGAACCAGAAATATTTTTCTATAGTATTTCCTTTAACAAATTAAATGCGATATAATTTTTTTTTCGAGATTAAATTATAAAATTAATAGAGTTTGGAAATTAGAAAATCCAAAAATCAAATTTAAACCAAACTAAAAGAGGGTTGCCTAATACCAAGCACCACTTTACAACAATTAAAATGGTCGAAAAAAAGAGTGCTTGTACAAATTATGAGCATTAGCGACTTGGCGATTAATTAGTCCTAGAATAAATTTTTAGTTGCTTTTTTCTACTATCAATTTAAATCCTCATTTTCATAAATTCCTTTTGAATTGCATATGTATAATTTTTTTTATCAGCAACAAAATTTTTTTATTTAAATTAAAGAATTACAAAAGGTTTAACATTTTCAAGAATCTACTTCAAGCCAATAGGCTTCCCTAATATACCACAATTAACCTGAAAATGTTAAATAAAAATATAGCCAAACAATACAATCTGATCAGGAAAACCTCTTGTTCTCCTGAGATAAGAAAAACAGATGCAAAACATTGAAAAGCTCACCTACAATCAAGGGGAAAAAAAAAAATGCAAAATTGAAAAGCCACCTAACAATCAAGGGGAAAAAAAAAAATCACAATCAAACTCAAATCAAACTAAAACGTCCACTGCTGTGTTAAAATCATTCTTAGCCAAAAAGTCAATAAATCCATGCTTATGTCTTCTAATCAAGTTGAAGGAAATATGGGTACAAATCAAAGAGAGAGCTTCCATTTTACTATCTCCGCTTCATAATACTTGTCTGATTTGGAAAAATAGTTTTGTTTCAAAATACTTGTCACATTTATGGTTTCAAGGACTAATAAATACTTTTTCCATGTTTACTCTTTTTATATGATCAATAATTATTATTTCAATTTAATGGCTTTTTAGAGAATTAGTATTAAATTAAAGGTAAAATGGTCAATTTATTCAATAATTTATTTTATTATAATTTAAATAAATTTAATGATTTTCTTAAGAGACGTGAAATTCTAAATGTGACAAGTATTATGGAATAGAAGTAATATTAAAACTTTTTTCACTATTTTCAAAGTCGCTTGTGTTTGTGTAGCTTCCAAATTACTGCACTCCTAGAGCCTGATTCAACAATTAACGGGAAGCTATTAAATGCAAAAGAAGCAAAAACTTGAATAGCCTCAAAAATGGCAAGAATATCAATTTCATTAAAATCCAAAATTTATAAAATAAGATTTTTTTTAATATATATAAAAATTACTTGGCTTACTTGTGATTATTCAAATAAGATAATTCTAAGTATAATTATTGTATTATTAAAAAAAAAAACTTTTACAAAAATGAAAAACAAAGAAGAAATTGAAAGCAGGCCAATATGGAGTATATAAAAATATATAAAAAAAGGAATCAGTTCTAATAGGAAATAAATAGAAAACAAAAAAATAAATTAAGGTTTATTAATTAAGGTTTATTAATCTAGGTTTTCTCTATGTGAATAAGAACCATAAAAGAACTTTGAAAGAGGAGCTATTTTCTCAGAAAATGAACCGACGCCATCGCCAGCACTGCCATGAGGTGAAGATGCTGCAACATCTGCACAAAATCAGCAACACCGTGTGTGTTCGAGAGAGAAATTGAAGAGTTGGACAACAGATTTAGCGTCACAGTTAAGAATATCAATTAAAATAGTAAGGGCAACTAATTAAGTCGGTTCGATAAATAAAAAATATTTCATGCTCTGGAATCAATAAAATCTTTTTTTTTTATCAGCAAAATTTTAAATTTTATTAATTAAAATTACCAGGAAAAAACTTAAAAAACCTCAGCAAAGTAAACTCAAGCCAATAGACTTTCCTAAAACACCAAATCCTAGACGGAGAATGTTAAGTTAAAAAACACACAGATTAAAATACATCAATACAAAGAACAATGATAGAAGATAAAATCTGCTATGAAAATAAAACAACTCTATCTTTTTCCTCTTATACGTTAATTTCCTTACAAAGGTAAACAGCTTATCGAAAAAAGCATAACCTTATAAATAAAGCATTGAATATGTGATTGTTGTAGCCTTTAGATGAGGAAGGAAAGTTTTTGGTTTGCTTTAGAAAGGAGGAAAATAAAATCTATATCTATCTATAAAAGTGGGAATAAAGGGAAAATAATGAGATTTTTAATGAAATTTGAAATATCCTAAAATAACTTTAGTAATTGCCAATTAGAAAATCACATTTTATTACTTGATGGAATATATACTAAAAATTATTTTTTAAATAAATAGATATAAAATTATTTTTTAAATAAATAGATATAGATAATTAAATATATTCTTATTAGTTGATTGGCTATATTTATAAAAATTTTTTTATATAAATAGAATAGATAATTAAAATTATATTTTATTAGTTGATTACTGGAGTATTTTAAGTTTATTAGATAAGTTTTAATTTATAAATACTTATTTATATTTTATTAGTTAGCATTTCAAAATTTTAAATTTTATCTTTCAAAATTCACTTTTAATAAATATATATATAATGATACATTAATATATGTTTTATATTTATATGTATTTTTTTAAATTATTGATTCTATTTTGATTATAATTTAAATATTTATTTTTAGAATTTGATTATAATTTATAATATTTTATTTAGAAGATAAATAAAAAAAAGATTATATTCTTTTTATTGATATTCTTTTTTTTTCCCTTATATTATATGATTTGATTGGATGTATTTTTTTAAAAAATAAATTTTCAAATAGAAAATACATAATATTTGATTTAGGAGTAAAATAAAAAATAAAAAAGTATATTATTTTTTTTAATATTTCTTTATGCTTATATGATTTGATTAGATATATTTTTATATCTATATGCTTATATGATTTGATTAGATATATTTATATATCTATATACATTGAAATATTTTTTGTTAAGTGAGTTCTGAAAAGAGTTTTATTCTTAATAATAATTTTTTAATTTTCTTTTTTGTTATTGAATAATTTGCAACTACTATAATTTTTATTTAGAGGAGCGATTTATATCTCACTTGCAATAAATATATGACCTTTTTATGTTTAATCATTTTTAATTTCATTGATATTTTTTCTTTTTTATCATAAATCTGTTTGAGTTGAAAGAAAATAATGTTTAGAAAATTTTAAAAAAACTAGAAACAGTTACATTAAAAGTGAAATAAAATTACATTAACTAGTGTAGGAAGGGTATAGTTAACCACGGCCAATGATCAAATTAATCGCAAATTTAATAAAAAAAACCACCAAAGCCACAGTAAGAGTAATGTTAGACAAAAAATATTAAAACACCAGATATTAAAAAATTGAGGATCCGATGGTACATCAATTGGACAATGTCCAAATCGCCACATTTCTAGAATAAACCAGTAATTTAATTAATGTTTCCACACCCACGTTTTCAAGATGTTACGTAGAATTCCAAAACTTCTTTTTTGTCTTGTTTTAAGTACATGTAAAATAAATTGATAACAGATATCTACCATTATATTCTTTTTTATCCTTTGTCAAT